TCTTCAGTGCTTGGGATAAGGTGCCTGAGGTGTTTTTTGGAGAGCAAGAGGCGAAGGCCGCAAGTCAAGCTGTATGCGAAGCATGAGGAGAATGACCGGAACATCACATATCACTTCTATATAACATCTTCTAACAGTTGTACAAAGAACAAAGAGAGGGAACACACTTTTTGTTTGGTTCATATCATTTCTGTAGCATCACTGAACTTCTTCTCGCGTCAAAGCCTGGAGGCCGCAAGGCAGCGTGGATTGACCTTGTCACGCGGCGAGCATCTCCTTTGCGATGTTGTCCAGTCCGAGGCACCGCTTTGGAACTGTTTCAACGGACGTGATTCAGCGGAAGGTGTTTCAACGAGTGCCATGTTCTACGCGGTCGGGTGACATTGTTCTTGGTCCACACTTTAGCTCGGACAATTTTCAGCGAAGCAGCTTCAGGATGCTCAAAGTCAACGCTTCTTTGCGGTAATGCTGCGGCCCAGCGGAGGATGCCTTATAGATTTGAGAAGCTTTTGCAGACATGTCGGGTGTGTAGTAGAATGGGGAGACCCCCAAACAACTCACCTGAAAAGACAAATGGAGTGAAACCCAGAGGTCGGAGGGTCTACCTGCTGTTTTTCTACATTCTACATACCCATATACCGCTTTTGAGTTTCGTTCAGGTCCGAGATGTGTTTGCGATCGTGTTTCTTTTTCTTTTATATTCAGGAGCTGTTGCAAGTGATGATCCCAGGCAGGAGGCACTGAGAAACGAGCACCATGAAGGATCTCCATGAGCACTTCCTAAGTCTTCTGTTTGTTTCATTCATCCTTGGCAGGCCGAGCGGGTCTTGGTGTCTTTGACGGCTGAAATGGAGAGAGTTGTGTGCGCTTGCTGCAGCATTGAGCCACCGAGCTTGTGTTGGGTCACAGTGAGTTCACCACCAGGCCTGCTTTGGGCTCACCGCACACATTTGCTGCTGGTTCCGAACACTTCTGCCAGCCTGGATCTCAGATCTTGCGAACTCTCAGGGACCAAGATTTGAAGAAACGCTCAGGTTGGTGGAAGATGCTTGGAGCCAGGTTGGAGCTGATCGGAAGACTTTGGAGGAATGGTGGTGCACATGCAGGGGTGCAGGGGGTCCAATTCGGCACATGTAATAGGCATACATGGATGACATACTGACATACTTTATCTATATATCTGCCAGGAGTTTTTCCAAAAAGTTTGCTTCAAAGGAGTCGAGGCCAGGAGAGCAGCCGCATTCTTCAGAGCAGCTGCATTCTACTTGATCTGACAGGTCTTTGCTCGTCAAACCCTTCTATCACCAGCCTTAGATGAATGTGTTTCGGAGAAGATGTCTGCTTGGTTACGCCGGCTGGAAAGAGCTCCATGGTTCCCCAGCTGGATGGTTCCTCATCGTGACAACAGCCGTAGACTGCCACATTTGCCCAACAAGATATGCTTCCAGAAGGAATGCTGTCGAGAATTATGTCTATAATCCTCCTTCTCCAAGACATCAAAAAGGAATGGGCCATCATGCTGAATAAGCCTCATAGCGGTTTTGGGATCCTTGTATTGTATTTGTTCTGCTATATACATGATCTTGGGAGCGGTGAAGGAGACACATGCTCTATTTTTTGGTCTTCCGTGACCCCGGACCATTCGTAAGGTAGACCATGCACGTTGGATGATTTAGCTTAGGTTTCCAGAAGCCCTCTGCAAACTGTGGGACGCACGGGTTTCAAGAGAGTTCCTTGCACGTTATCAATGGGACATGCACACACACACAATTTACAACGTGGGACACCTTGCTGTTGCTTGCAAAGTCCAAGACCATTCTCCCCAGAACGAGCAAGACGACCTAAGGTGCTGGTCCCCCCAGCAGCGACGTGCGCTGGGTGAGATGTCCGAACTTGCTGCGCAACTGCACGGTGGAGGTAGCCAGCCTGAAGTGTCCGAGAGGACTGCGTGACCTTCAGTTTCATAATGAGAACGGGAAGGGCAGGGTAGCGTTTCCCATGGTTTCCCTGACAGACGTGCCCTGCCGATTGATTGGTCCTTGTTTGGAAATGCTGTGCCGGAAGGCTGGCTGCAGGTGGGTTCGAACACCTGTGATTCTGTTTGGTGATGCTCCCCGACGTGAAATTGGTTTGGCTGCAAGCTGGACCGAAGTGTTTGATACCCTACACAATCGGTCTGAGGTTGGAGGTCATCCCTCTTCATCGCTTTAGGGTCGAGGCTATCGGTAGTAGGGTGAGCACATCTGGATTCAGCGTTCAACATGTCAACAAAACAGAACATTCAGGAGTCGATCGTAAGAGACTCCAGGTGCACAGGCCCATCTCCTCTACAGTTTTTTATCGCTCTTCACCCCAATTGCTACCTTTTGCCACCCTCTTCTCTCAAGTATGGTTGACGCAGCCCCGAAACTCAAGCAGGTAGCTCACGAGGGGGCAGGAAGAGCGAAGCGTGATTGAAAGCACTAATGATTTGGTTCCTAGTAGCGTCCTTGTTCCTAGTAGTAAGGCCAGGAGCCCCTGGTAGCGTCTTTGCTCCTAGTAGCGATGCCAGGGGCCCCTAGTAGCGTCCTAGTAGCCCCTAGAAAGCTGCACATCATGGGGGATCGATGGAACAGAGGCTGCGCAGAGGCTGCGCTGCCGATGTGCCGTTCTCTCGTCCTTCCGGAACCGGAGGATAGCCTCAGTGCTTCAATGCCGGACCGAGAGGTTCGTTGCTCCTCAGACTGCAACTGAGCCTCAAAACAACCCTCAAACTGCCACCGATGCCGCTGAGGTGGTGTTGGAGGCCGCCACCCATGAGTTGCGTGTCATCGGGTTGAGCTGTGTGATTTACCAACATTCTGGGCAAGTTTTGCCAACAGAGACTGGCGGTTGTGATTGCTCCTCATTCCTGTGGCTGGCCAAATCTCAAGCTCTCTTGGAAGGATCTGACCTTAAGACTTGTGTTGTATACAACTCTTGTCAAGATTTTATGATGTTTCTTTTTGGACATAGGGTTCTGTTTGGCCAACCAACCTTTCGGCTCAAGCACGTATGAGGGTCAAGACTTGATTCTCGTGAGGCCTGGCATTGAGTGCATTGGCTTTCTGGCTTGTGTTGCAAGTGCCCATGTCATCGTTTTCTGTACAAGAAGCCTTACCCTCAACAGCCGCCGTCTCCTTCTTGGGCTAGAGCCAGACCGTGAAGGTAGAAAAAGCATTTGCCAGTACTCTTTAGTCTTAGTCTCTTTGTGCCCTTGTCTCATTGCTCAACAAAATCTGCAGTCTATCCTGTAATATGATGTTTGCGAGAGCAGAGGCTCCCCTGTTCAGGTTGCCGTTTGGCCGTAAGACCGCTGAAGAAACGACTGATTTCATACTGATGTGATGCAGCGCTCTGTATCAAGACATTCTTCCATTGGCCCGTTTGCTTCCGCAACGGAGCTGAACGTTGCAGGCCCGAATGGCGGCAGCTAGCAAGGCCCTGCGGAATGCTCCTTGCTCGGAAAGAGAAAGCTGAATCAGAATCTACTTTACATTGCTGCACTCCTTCCTAAGGTGGTTGGCAGCCTTCAACTTAGGCCTGCTCAAACCTGTTTTGCCAAGGTCAAGCCCTGAGTCACTGAGGGCACAGGACTTGTGTGTTGCCATCATATTTGCTCCAGCGAAAAGTGGGGCAACGTCTTCATGCTAACCTGATCAAGGACACGCATCACTATGGAAACTGAAAGCTACAGGGAAGAACAGTCCGAGGAAAGTTGACGTACACCTAGCGTCCGAGTGGCGGCCAAACTGCCGACGAGGGATGATCCACCCTTGCCACCAGCGCTTCTGGCACGACACGCCTGTGTCCACTACCGACTTTCACGTAAAGACGTTGAAGATGAAAAGAAAGCTTAGTGTCCCATGTAGTTCACACAAAGTATTTGGGAGCGGAAGTGGTGCCTGAATTTCTTCAATTGGAACTTGAAGCTAGCATGTCAGAGTGTGTTTGTATTGGTGCTTGGGACCTGCTCGAGCAAAAATAACATTCGCAGGTCAGTAAGGATGTCAGAAGGAAAATGACACGAAGGACCTCCAGAATCATCCAAGTCAGAAGCTAGGCTCTTGGCAACAAATCGGCAAAGAGCACGGATCCTAGGAGGTCAGAACCTGGCATCAAAGCTTTGGTCAGACTGTGCAGTTGACCCCAGAGAACCAACATAGTTAAGGAAACCTGAAGAACAGCCAGACATGAAAACACGAACAAAAGGGATTCTTCGGGAGGCTGCCCATCCCACTCCGGCACGTGTACGTATTCGGAGTGCTAACCACAGTGAGGCTCAAAGAATGGACAGTGGAGTTTGGCCCTTGTTGCCAAGTTTGGACGTAAAGGTCGAGTCTCATAACAAATCAAGATTGCACACTTCTCATTGCAGACCAGTTGCTGGGACATTGTAATGTTTTTTTCCTCCCACCCACAGACCGCCATGGTTTGTCCAAAGCAATTGAATTTGCCATAAGCATTACTAGCCCACTTGCCCATAGCCAATTCTCTTTTCAAGAGAGAGCACAGGATATTGACCAAAAGAGAGAAGGGAACCAGAGAAGGAAGAAAGGGGATCAATCACGTCTAAGATCTTACCCACATGTAGCCGTAGAGCACACAAAAGATGCATCAATGAAGAAAACTGCGCCATAATGCGCCGCTGGTGCAGGGGAGGTCAGCACGTTTGTGGCTCCAGAAAAAGAACATACGGATGACGTTGATCGACTTTGTTCGTTCTTTTGAAGCTTCAACAAAGACAAAGAGCACTTGAGATCGAAGAGCGGTACCCTTCAACAACCAAGCGGGCAGACGGCACACCGGTGAACTATTCTCAGGCAGGGGATAGATCCAACAGTCTAAGGAAAACGTGTGCGCGTGTGTGTATGCATACGTGCTGAATGCTACGTTTTGAACTTGCTTTATATAGACTTTTTTGGTAATCGTTGCAGTTGGGCGTTTCGCCCCAGAAATCAAAAGCAATTGAAGGTGCAACCATGTCTGTGCTCATGAATACCATGCGGCTAGCCGCATTTTGGTTGACGAAACGGGGCGATTTCAGGCCCTTGGGCCCACGGATCCACCATTCAGATCCATTCAGACCCACTGTTGATGCTTTGACCGGGTATTTCACCAACCTGAGGCATCAGAGGCCCAAGCTGGTGGTTCTGTCCTCAGTGCCCAACGGACTGGGCCGTGACGACCCCTGGAGACTTCATGCGACGTGAGGTGTGCGAAGTTGGAGACTCGGTCTACAGGCGTCAGACTCCGTGACACCTCACCACCGTTCTTTTGGCTGATCCTTTTTTGGGTTTGGATCCCGTTGGATTCCGCTAGTTCAGTCCTGTTGGTCTTGTGTTTTTGTTGTTTGTGTTTTTCAGCATTCTTGTTCCTTTTGGACAACTTCCGGCAGAGGCACGTTGCTTAAGCACATCAGGCCAGGATTCGTCTCGTGGGGGAGAGGATAGGAATCCGTGAGAGTCATTTTAGAGGCATCTGACATCGATGCAAACATGTACATGCACATGGCAGCTTGATCAGCCTCTGACAGTTTCTTCCAGACTTGTGGCACTGGTTGGTGGTGGAAGGTTACATGCACATGGGTTCGGTTACAGCACTTCATCGCCGCTTTTGACTCGGGGAACCCCGCACGATTGACGTAGACGCAAGCGCACCATTGCTTTCTTGAATCCTCGTCCCCAAGACGCAGGGGCTGTGTAGCCAGTTTGTGAACAACGTAGAGACACTGAAGTGTTGTGCTTTTTGTTCTTAGTCGCTTGCGCCTTAGGCCTTGTGCTTTGGGATTGGGTTTCGCTTTCTGTTCGATCGTGGTCTGCTTGAGACCCAAAGACCCGTCATTCATCGGCTCCCCGGCCACTTGCGTAGACTGCTGCTGTTTGGACCGCTCCAAGTTGCACATGGTGGAGAGTGGCAGACGCAGCTCCAGTTATGTGTGCCGACTCGGCTGTGCAGTCTGCAGAACAGTTCCCAATGCTACCTGCTTCCCATGGCATGGATTGTAACACACAATCAGTAAAGAGGCATAGGAACACTGTGCAGGAACTTATGAAGGCGCACCCCCCCAGGCCCGACCTTGGCCACTTGCTAGTGCTCTTGGAACCCATGATGCAAGGGATTGTTAAAATATGACTTGCATTACCGACATCCCATTTCCTTCATCGTTCTTAGCAACTTTTTCAAGAACGTACTGACCCGCGTGGGCGAACAAGTAGGCCGATTCGATCGCTTTTTGTCGCGTTTTCCAGGTTCAATCAGCAGTGCCACTAGTAAACCTTAAAACCTTTAGCTTACCCAAGAACCTAGAACCATAGCGATCTTTTGTCGTCATTTTTTGTTGCCGCAACGAGCGCTTTTGACCGGTGCCAGGCCTCACGGGTCTAAGAGCCACCTTTGCGCGCCTGGCAGCGGAACGACTCGGTTCACCTCCAGAGGCCCCGGGCGCGGCGCGGCTCGGGCGCGGCGCGGCGCAACGGGTGGACGGCGCTCGCCAGGCTGCGGCTCCCAAAGCAGCTGCACCCGCCGGCTCCGCACCAGCAGCCGTCAGTGTCGCGGAGGCGCGTGCCACGGTGTGAGTGTGCAATCTCGATGTTGTTAAAGCCATCTTCAACCTAGAGGCAGAGGGGCATGTATTTTTGATTATTTTTGTATGTGCATACAATATAACCTGGAACAAGGAAGAGTGACCTCCTGTGCAGTGTTTAGTGCCCAGCTGTGTAGTCGGATGATGCATTGTGCGTTTCTCATGCATTTAGGAAAGTAGACGAAAGGAAGGTAGATGAAACGAAAGCGAAGGACCGCTGCAGGTGTGACATGAACCTTGGCCGGATGGAGGGCAGTTCCCTTGATGCTTCTTGCATTGGATGACTGTACCACTTTGATCTTCTCAAGCAGGTTTCCCATCACAACAAGCAGGTTACGAGTATAGCAGACTTGGAAACCCAAGATAACGCTAGCTGCTAGCGTTTTCAGTTGCGAAGCATGTGGGTTGTCAGGGCATGATTGGCCCCACAATACCATCGAAACAGCTGATTCTATCCAGTATGTTGCTGGAGACAGGCTTTCTGAGTGACCGGAAGATGGTGCTAAAGATGTGGACCAATAATACTCCAGTTGTTCTGCAATAGGCATCAGAGCCAGCTTCTTCTGTTTGCCAGGGCTGCATTGAACGACGCGTGCCTGTGTCCTTTGTGCGGCAGCGTGTCATGAAAAGGCTCAAGGCACGCTACACTGCATTTGATACGTCGACAGTTTGATGCATCCTTTTGTTTAATTTTCTCTTCCTGCCTTCATCCACAACTTTGCACATGGTATGATTTGATAGGAATTTGTTCATGTGTAATGTAGTATATGTATACATGATATATAATATAGACATATGCCCATGGACCTGCAGACTTGCTGTCGGAATCCATTCAAGTTACCTACTTTAATAAAGGGGCCCAATCCACGTTTCATGCAGGGCCTTGACATTTCAACTTGGACGTGTTCAGGAGACGCAAAATACTGTGGCTCAGCTTTCTACATTTCAGGTGGGTTGCAACAAGTCAAGCTGGTCATGATTTTCAACCCTGGTATTTTCTTGGGTTGGGAGGAGGTTGACATGACAGCAGCACTGAAGCTCCGAGCGAAGTACAAGGTCCGAGTCACAAGGGTGTGTTGCGCAACACAGTCAAGTTGAATCATGCTTTGCATTTGACAATTTCCGGCAACAACTGCGACCCTTTGGTCAAACCATTCAAACCATTCTGCGACCGGTCAATATCCGCTTCGCATCCAGGACATGTTTCTCAAGTTACATGGGTCGCAGCTGGGCCTTCTGTCACTGATCGCCAAGGCAACAGACTCAGAGACTCTTGCAGACTTACAATTGCGTTGTTTAACTCCTGGCTCCATGTTGTTTTCATTTTGCGGATATGAGATGGACCAAGGCCACCTGTTTGGCCATTGCGGAGGCCAGGGCCACACTCCGTTGGACGTGTTGAATGCTCGTTGCCGCAGGGAGAGTTTGGAAAACGCGGTCTTGAAGGGGGCAAAGTTTGTTACCCTCTCATCTCAAGATTTAAGCACGAGAATGGACACACATATTTTTTGCATTATTTGCAAGTAGTTTTGCAGATGCCATTTGTATTTTTTGGAGGTGCCCGGTGTCAATGCAATCATCGATGACGGGACAAGGGCACAGTTTTGGAACATGAACTGAGCTGTTTTGGTGCCTTCCTTTCAAACAGGGCCACATTGTCTTCAGGACAAAAGAGACAGTTTCACGTGACTATGTCCGGGCCTTGGTGCGAGAGTATGTGTTGGGCCTTCATCCGCATTGTTCACTCTGCAGTGTTCAGTTGCTTCCTTGAGGTTGACATCAGCATCCCCATACCAAGCCCAAGAGGGATCATTGCCTGTACCCTTAAAGATGCGCAAAGCATGACGATCAGAGACCTGGAGCATGAAATAGCTGCGTCAGGGTCCAAGTCTGCAGCTCAAATGCATGATTCTGTTGGATGTGGTGAGCTCTCTTGTTTGTTTCGCTAATTTCTTTGTTTGTTACTAAAGTCTTTCACTGCGAAGAAGCATTGTTCTGTTAGGCTCTCCGATCGGGCTGCCAGGGATGAGCTATCCGTTGCTGACTTGAGCACTTCGACCTTTGGCATTGTGGATACGGGGATCGCTGGTAGCATGTTGGGAACTGGAATTATGTGCGGTGCTTGGCCAGAGATTTTGTCCTTGATACTACTGGTAGTTGATACCTTGATATCCTTGATGTTTTTTTTTTTTTTTTGTCTTCTGACTGTGCAGAAATTATCCACAGAGCGCTTCCATGGGCTCGAGTCTCAGAGGAAGCGGATTCTAGACACAGACATTGAACTCAAAGACACTAGGTGAAGAGGCATTGATTCTAGACATTGAGCGTACGAAGTGCATTGTTTCTCTGCCTTCGAGCCTGCCGTACTTTCAGGTACGAACAGCGTGAAGAGACGCCCTACGGTGGTGGACGGGAAGATAGAAGCCAGACCAATCATGTGCGCCCGACCTCTGAAACCCAGCCAGTGTCCCTCACCGTTGACGGCGTTGACAGGAGTTCCGAAACAAGGAGTTAAAGGAAGCGTCCAGCTTCTTGTGGGGCTTCTTGTGGGTCAGAAGATTCATGTGCATGTCAGTTGCTGCTCGCAGAAGTGCAGGTACACAGCTTTAAACTACGATCACCGCTTGATCGATGGTCGGGAGGCTGTGACATTTCTTTGCTCGGTGCGCGACAAACTGGAGGACTGGGGAGATTTTTTCTATTGTGATGATTTGATACATTTTTCCACAGAAGCATTCTCAGGATCCATCTCGAATGCTGCTGGATCTTTGATTCACTGGATCTCGAATGCTGCACCAAGAAAACGCACATATGAAATTCATCCGGGCAGCAATTCCTGGAGCTGAAGCGAAAGCCCAGCCAATGAAGTTGCTGACGGTCACTACTGCCATCGTTTCAAAAAGACCATCGTTGCTGCTGGTGTGATTTGCTATGACGTTCTCAAGACTTGCTAGTTTCATCGGGGCAATAATTGAGATCAATCATGACTACAAACGCGTGGGTTGAGCGTAATTGGCTTCCGTCTCGCAAAGCCAAGCGTGTTCTCTGCGTGTTCTGTGCGCAGGGCGTTCGAAATTCAGCGAATCAACAGATGATTCTACGAACTTGTGAGGCCTTAGGGGTGCAGGACTGACGAAGTCTTAGTCTTACTCTTTACAGACATGACTGATTGATATATGCTGGTGAGGAAGTATGGCTGGTACCACCGCCTGCTGGAGTCAAGTACCGAGCCACAATGGTTCGTTCGAGACACGCTTCAAGAGGCGCTGAAAGGCTGGGAGCGAAGCACTTGTTGTGATGCCCTCTGAATACCAAGCCTTTTGCTGTCCAAGCCGACTGCTATTGTCTTGAGCACGCTCGACTGCTCCAACTGCTTGTCACGTACTGACTTCACCCGACTTGAGAGGTTTCTGACTTTGCACCGACTTGCCTCCGTCAAGGCGACCCGTTTGTTGGACCAGCAGCTTCGACAGACGTGCCCGTTTGTTTGCGAGTCCTGCAGGAGGTGGCAGAGCGTTGCCAAGCAGAAGGACGTGAGCTGTGGGTGTCATACTGCCCACCCAGGTACAGTTGAGCGGTCTTTGAACGAATGTGAAGTGAGTGAAATGTGACAGATCCTGATACCTTTTGATTCCTTTGAGGCTGGCGGGGCCTTCACCAGGGCCAGAAGCAGTTCCATTGACTGCCGGGCCAGGGCCTCTGCATTCCAAGGGAGGCGCAAGATTTTGCAATAGATTGTGTCTAGCCGCTAGCCACATTCCCTCCGTCGAAGTGAGTTTAGCCATCAGTATATAGATAAACATCATTTTAAATTGGATGACCAGCTGTAGCTGGATAGGACCACATCAAGCAACATGATGTGACAGGTCTGTGTCATCTCCCCTGCCTCGTCTGGCACTGGTGCGGCCAAGTGCTGTCATGTTTTATGGAAACAAACATTTCTTGCCGGCACCGCAATTCCGAAAAACATGACAACGCATTTGAACATATATATTATGATCAAGAAATTTAACAACCTACCGTAACCTCCTCGCGTGAACACGGTAAAGGTGTTTAGCTGTGCGGATTGCATTTCCATAGTTTTTCCATTCAAAGCAGTTGTGTGCAGTGCTGCATGTATGGTACAGATTCTATCATGATTCCGTCCTTAGGTACTTGGAACTGAGAGTGACGGAATCTCGACCACGATGCTGCGACAATCAAACCGCGCAGTGAGCAGACAAACGCAAAGGCATGCTTCACGGTTTGTAGGGCCACACCTGCAAAAACAACGATGTTGGAAAACCTTTTTGTGTTCGTCAAATTGACGTGTAGTGATCGGCAATCGCACATTAGGCCACATGGGAAATAGGGGTTTAACAATGACTGACGATGCGATTAGCACAAGTCAATGTCACCGAAGACAGATTCGCTGGGCCGCACAAGTCACGCGAAGGACCAGTCAGGGCCGCGACGTTAGTTTTACTTTGCGAAGTGACTCGCGGTAGTCAGGTATTCTTGCCCATGTATGGTTTCGTGCAGTCGCTGAACGTGGCAGCATCGGACCCAGATGGACAGATGGACGAAGGAGCGAGTCGTCGAGTGCTTCGAACAAAGAAGGCTTTCGCTTTGACAACAGTTGCTCACCAGCAATCGGAAGGATTCCAACAAGAGTCTAGGGAATTCAAGAAACAAACTCAAACAGACTTCCGAAGAATCCCATCTCTTCAGATTTTGACAAAACAACTTGAAAAGGACTTATACAGCAAAATGAGCTAGTAACAATTTTAAGGACATCCAACAACCAATGAGGCTGAAGGAATGCAACAGGAAGCTGTATAAGAAAAATGACAGGAATCAATATGGAAGCAAGACAGAAGTCCGGGCAGTCAGACAAGTCCAGGGGTTCATTCTTCATTCAGAGACCAGATATTTTACCCACTCCAGTGTTTGTCCGGCCTTCCGTAAAACATGGTCCTATTTAAGAACTTCCGGTGCAGGCAACGTGTGTCGCATGTGCACCCAGGTCGCTTGCGGAATGTTGCTGCAGCGACTTTTTGATTTATGTCCTGAAGCGCGAGGGGTGTTCACGGCAAGTTGTCTTGCCAATGCTATTTCGATGCATGGTGCGTTGCCGCTTTTCGCTTGTTTACACCATCCTGCCAGGATTTGAATCCCATTGCAAAGGATCGCTTGGTACTGACCACAGTTCCCGTAGACGGTGGACGATGATGAAATGCACTTCGAAAATCGCCACCCCCTTGCCTCAGGTTTTTGAGGGGGGACGTAAAAAAATGTAAGTTACATTTTGGGGGGGGGCCATAAATGTATGTTGGACCCCCCCTCTACTTTTTGACCGGTGGCTTTCCTGGGGATTGACCGGTGGAAGTTTAAGCTTTTTTTTTTGGGGGGGGATGTGGGCTGGCAGGGATTGTGCAGGATTCCCCAGGGATCCCCCAGGGAATCACCGGTGAGTGCTCAGAGTGCAGGAGGGGGGGGGGAGGGGGTGGTAAAAATGTAACTTATTATGTGGGCACGTGGCAACTTACATTTTACAGGGTACCTCTGAAAAGGTAACATATCACCTAGGCACATGGTAGCTTACATTTTACAGGGTACCCCTCAAAATGTAACATACTAACATACTAATCCTCAATGATACTCTGTGAATCCTGGAAGGAAAGCGTGTTTGTTCCAATTTGGAGCTTGCTGCACTCTTGAAGTTGCTGAGATCTGTTGGCTTCTAGGCAGAAGATGGCAGAAGTGATGATATATAAACAAGATATATATAACAAGATTACATCAAACAAGATTTGATTGCATCTTGCATTGCAGACGTAGAAAATGTAAGCTTACATTTTCTACGTCTATTTCAAAAAATGTAAGCTTACATATTTGAGGTATCAAACCAGGACCCCCCCCGGGAAAAATGTAACTTACATTTTTTTAGGTCCCCTCTCCCCTAACAGGTAGCGATCTTCGAAGTGCTTCAAGAGACATTGCCTTAAGATTAAAAGATGCTTCAAAAGCAGCCGAGAGTCCTACAGGCAAATGCAGCGAGAGCATTGCAGAAGCAGGACTGCAGTTGGATAAGACTCATGAAGACACCGTTATACCGTGCTTGCCTGCATGGCACCAGTGTTGGACCTCCCTGCAACATCTATGAAATGGAAAACCAAGTACTGTAGATTTCCAGGATACCATGTCTTCAACCGCGCGTTGGATCACTGGATCACAGACTATCAAACAAACATAGAACACCTGAAGGATGAAGGGAGCGCCGACGATTTAGGCGGGCTTTCCAGCGACTGATTTAGTTGGCTGATCAGTCGCTGCCCACCGAGACGCCGGTCGCTCTCAGGTTTGGACGACATCGACGCCAGAGACTCTGGAGCTGTGCCCGAGCGTTAAAGATGCGCACTTTGCAATGTAAGGATGTTGTCTTCCACCCACAAGACTCCACACATTGTCACACATTTGCTGCTAGGCAACCGATTGTCCCAAGCGTATTTCGTCCGCCATGGGCTCAAGAAGCACTCTAGGATACTCTAGGATAGATACCAAGCACTCGGCCATGGACATCAAACGAGGATTCACACCAACACTTAGAGGTAAACTCTCGCCAGCTCAATTCGTAGAATCCACCCAGGATTGGTTCCACATTAGGACGTCCAGCCATGGCCTCATGGGAAACCTTAAAAGCGAGAGCAAAGGCCGATTAGTGCGCTGCCAGATCCACCACCGTCAACGGGTTGCCAGCTTGCCCTCCCTTTGACATCCTTTTACTAAGCTTAAGATCGAACCAAGTAATCCTTATCCGGTCGGTTGCTGTCTTCAGGGATGCTATGTCTATGCCTAGTGTACTTTTGGATGAACCATCAAGGACTCCTCAGAGGATTTGAGCGGCTACTAATCGTGGATTCATTACCAGTAAGAATGCTCCGGACTCGTCGCGATGCTCCGTTCGCCCCGTTCGTCGCGTTCTTGTCTGGTTGTGACCCGTTGAGGGCCAATCTGTTTGTAGCGGTCCACAGTCCAATTGGACGACTTCTCCTTTTCGAGGCCTTTGATGGATCATTCTAGATCAAAGACGCTGTGCTCACATTGAGACACGCAGACCGAAAATAGCACCGTTTGCCACTGTGACGGTAAATTGAAGGACCTTTGTTCGATATCGGAGAGGCACTTTGGCTCTGGCTTGCACGCTCGTTCCCTCTCTGGCTTGCACTCGCTCCCTTGCTGTTTGGCAATTTGGAAGGTCTTTCCAGTCCTGCTTCTACTCAATGAACGTTTTTATGTTGTTGTGTCCCTGAGAAGCAGCATTGTGTCCCCAGCGCTGAGTCAGCGACCACGTTATGCGCGTGACAGGTTGGGGTCAAGCCGTGACCTCCTATTCTGCAGTCCGGTCATGACGCTTGTGAGGGTGTCGCGCGAGCTTACAAGCGCTTTTCAACCTCAGAATTGTTCAGAACGAACTGAAACAAAGGGTGGCCGTGTATCTCTAGGGCTCCAAATACCTCGGTTTTGAAGGTGTTCGGGTTATAAGTTCCTTCTGACAAGGTCTGTGGAGGTGTAGAGGACTCATGGGGGATCCGTTGGAATGTGCCGCTTGGCCAGTGGTGGCTACCTGCGCTACTTGGCCACCGACCACGGTGCCATCTGAGCCATGTTCCGGATGAATGAGCTGGCTCGCTGGTGTGCTAGCCGGGTCCCCTCATGAGCGGCTCGCTGGTGTGGTTTGCTCTGGGTCAACCGCTGGTGTGGTTTGCTCTGGGTCAACTAGGTCATGGACGATCATCAAACAATGACTTGCTGCTTCATTGGTGTGTGTATGTATCGCATGGCTTGTTGCATGGATTCCCGGAAAGAGAGTGGCGTGGTGTGTTGCATGCCACGGTCGTGCACGCCCTTTCTTGCCACGAGGGACAGGGAGTTTCTTGTTTGCCTTTCATCAAGACGGCCATTGTTTTTGTTGCTTGCCGCTGCCATCATTTTGAGTTTTGCTGGCTGACCACTGTGAGTCAGTAGCGTGTCAGGCGTTGAAGTCCGAATTGGACACCAAAATGCAGGACACACCTGCTTGGAAGATGGTCGCCTGTCGCCCACTTTGTGGGAATGCTGCGCTTGTTCCAGGACCTTGGCCGCCTCAACAAACGACTTAGTTCTGCTTCAGCATCGCCTGCAGACCGCGTTGCTGAGCTTGATGGGTGCGGGGCCGTGCTGCGTCACACCATTTGGTCTGCACGATGACCGATCCTCAGCCCAGGCAGATCAAACTTGTGGTGGGCCTAAGAGAGGAGGTGCCAACAGACAACTGTTGACCGAAGAACCGCGTTGAACGAGCTGGTAGGTCGAGAAAGGTTTGAGCCAGCTGGAGGACTGGCTTGCGAGACGTGTGTGCCAAAACGGAGATTTTGAAGGTCAGCAGGTATGTTGGATGACTCAACGTTTTGGTATTGTGAAAGGAGGCCAGCGAGTCGCTTGCGAATGTGGCTGCAACAAGTGCCCAAGCAGCCCAAGCAGCGCAGTTTCGTGAAACTCAGCAGGATTTAGAGCTGATGCTGTTGTGAAGCTGATGGCTTTGAGTGTTAAGCTGCAAGCTCTACAGTGGTCGCAGGAGATGTTGAGGGATTTCAAAAGAGTGGCGCAAAGCATCGACCACCAGTACCAGCATGCAAGGTGGGTGACATTCTGAGTGGACATGAAAGTTCTTGCATAGTTGGACTGGAGGCTACTTCCACATGCGAAAGCCAAGCCGGGTTCTCTAGTTCATAGTCTTTCTTGCTTCTCTCGTTTTTAGTCTTGCAGAGTCTAAGGTCTGCAGTCTCGCCGACATGCCTTACACGTCGCCATTTTTGTTTGGTTTGGCACCTGTGAACGGCATGAACTGCCTTGTTTGGAGGATCCAGAAGACGGCCTTCTTCGAGAACGCTACTTGACAGCAAAGCAATTGTTTGCGACCTTACTGTGAACCATGCAATCATTTCAGGTATGGGCCTCAACTCATCTTTGTCAATGGCAGATGAAATCATCGGCCAAGCAACTTCAACCAGAGATATGCTCATGAACCAGCGGAGTGTGCCTTAGAATCAACTAAGTGCGTTGCTGGACGCTGGACTTACCAATTGAACAATATCAAACATGTCCATGAATGAGAGTCATGCCTGCCCAAGTCATTCAGCTTCTGAAGCCACATGCAGAACAGGCACAGCGGAGCCACTGCATGTTCTGTTAAAAGTGTTTTGTGGGGTAAGAATTAGCTTGTGCAAAGAGTAGTGCTGTATTATGCTGTATTATGCTGTATTGGTTCCATATGTCCTCAGCATTATATAATAATATATACAACCACAGCCAAAGGGCAATTCCCCGAACATCAATCAGCATCAAGCACATCGCATGTGTGGGGTCCAAGGCAGCTTGAGGGATGCTTGGAACCAGCAAGGGTTTAAAGGACGCTCATGATATCAATGATATCAATATTCTTCTAGAGCCTGCATTACATCATAATCATGTATACATATTACATCAAACAAGTGTTAAATTAGAGGGTGCTCCCTTTCCCTTGGCGGATAGTTACAGTCTTTGGATGTCTTTGGGAGATCTATGCACAATATAGGCCAGGTACTATAGAAGCCACCAATGGCGTTGTAAATGGTCAAGGTAGACGCTCGGAGTACCAGCATTGAGCAGATGGTACATATAGGTCAATCTAAACAAATGGAAACAAGTGGTAGAGCCAAGAGCATATAACGATATGAACTCAATTCTTGGTCAGAATTGAGATTTGCCTTCACAGTGTGTCAACTTGCTGCCCAGTACTCGCATATGTACCAGATTCAAGTGCAGTTTTTGTTTTTGCCAGCATCAGCAGTTTCACGTCAGTCTACAAATCGAATTCAATCCTTTCTATGAGCTGGCCGCATACAATCTTGAGTCGTGAACAACACTGAAGCGCCAGACACGTAGAGTGTTAAGAAATCCATGCCAACCAAGACAGCAGACGCTTAAGACCTAATTGAAGAATCCCAGAGAGCGTAAACTTCAAGCCTGGTAGGCACTGCTTTTGTTGCGCCAAACTCTGCGTGCAGGATGTGCATGTCTTTTTAGAGTCTTTAAGTCTTAAGTGACATTGCGCAACACCTATGTCCGAGATTTGACATTTGGACAGACAGTTTGTGGCCCAAGCTTTGCACAACATGCAAGTCTTGGATTTCCGGGATGTATATAGAGGTTCCCAAACTACGTTGCACAACATCAGCCCGAAAGACGTGGATTCCCGCCTTGTACCTCATTTGTACTTGTCTGAATCTCCCACCCCTCTCGCTGACCTTGGCGGAGATTGCTGCCCAGCATTGCAGCATATTGCAGCTAAAGAAGTCCTGAGAATGTACGTACTTTGGGCGACATACTTACTTTTGTGTGAGGTATGGCCGCAAAATATACGTATCTCTAGGGGACTGGGCCTCGGCAACATCCGTTGCCCATTGCTTTTTGACATATTGTCACTAAACTGCTGTGCTCGATCGAATCACTGTTTTACTTTCCTGCACCATGGCTAGGTCTTGAGCATGTCAAGCGCTGCAAGTGCTGGTGAGCGCTGTTTTCAAATCATGACTAGGAAGACTCCACCCTGCTAGACAAGAGCGGACGCAGATGCCGAACCGCCTGCCCAGGTGCTGAACAGCGTGCATTCCAGAGTTGGATCGTTGAGCTCAATGTTTCCTGGCATTAACACCCTGATCGACAAGATCTCTGATCGGCAGAACAAGGAACCGTTTGTCAAAGTGACATTCATGCAATGCACTGAGCCTTGGTTGCAGGAGCGCGTGGTGCTATCCATCACTGTTGCGTGGGGCCACACAGAAGTGTACTGCTGGAACTGAAAAAACACTGATGGTGGCTTTTGTGCTCAGGTCTTGCTGCTTTTTCACGATTTGGTACAAATTTTTGTGAGCCGATCGTGAGCCTTTTGGACTTGGGGGGGAACTCTCCCATGTGGGGCAACTCACCGAGAGTGGGCTCGCAGATGTGAAAGCTTTGACTGAACGCAAGCTGGTTCGTTTTGAGTTGGAGGGGCGGACTTGGGGCCTCGTTGCGGCCTTGTTGTTTTTTACTCTTCGCTTTAAATCAGAATGTGCGGCCATTGGCTCAGCTGGCTTGATTCCAGTGGAACAAATGACCCGGGTATGCGGGAGCCTTGGGATGCGTTGGTATACAGAATGAGCATTGGTAGAGATTCGACAACTTGTGAAGATAGCAAATGCACGTTCTTTCTCATTGGTTTTGATGGTCATCAACGCTGCGCAAAACACTCTTTTGTGTTTCAAGAATCAACACAACAATGATCAAAGAAGCAGGAAGGTTGATCCTGGATTGGAAGTTGTTTGCATTTGTGTGCAGACACGGACATTTTCTTTGCAATCTATATAGGGACATCAGGTGATGTTTGTTTCGGACAGAAGAAGCTTGTGCTGCATTCGTTGGTCTTTAAGGTCTGACCCGAACTTCAAGCTTTTTGCTATGTAGTCTCTTTGCCTTGAGCCCAACGGCGCAGGACAGTGCAGCGTTGAATGAGTCTAGAGAGCTTTGAGCTGCTTGCAGACTTTCAGAATCATGCTTACCAGATGCTCAGGTGCAAAGTTTTTCCGAAGAGCGGCGGCTTCAGCCGAATGCAAACCCCCTAGACCTGTTGGGAAGCATCACACTCACGGCATTTGCTAAGGTCAAGGCCATTCAGACACCTCAGAAGAAACCTATTTGCAAGGGGTTTACGCTGAGGAGATCGTGTGCGATGACGCAGCCAGATGGTCTCAACTGCCATGGGTGCGCCTTAAGCGATTTGCACTTGTCACACGTGCAACGTTTGTGTTCAACAACAGGCAACATCCATGAATGTGCAATAGACAATGGAAGCTTTGAAACAACTGGACTACATGAAAATTTGAGCTGCTCATACTACTGATGTTTCTTTGACTTTGTGTTGTCTGGACAGGATTACCTGAGCTTTCAGGAGGTTCGGTCTTGGACCACACTGGGCTGGACGTCCGATGCATAGAGTTATGGTCTGTCCTTTCAGACGACCCGGGTCAGGGCACGCTTCGCCAGTCTGGCGCCCTTTCTATCGCCCCGGAGCTCCTTTTCAAGTCTCCCCCCTGCCTGTCTCGCCTTTTGCCCCTTTTTCCTGAGCTGAAGCACCTAAGTCTAAATCGATACATGTGTCATGGCAGTCAAGTGTCAAGCCATTGGCCATTTCAGCTCTTTTGGGTGAGTTCCCCAAGTGAAGGGCTCCGTTGAGACCACGATGACACCGTGACTGACCGGCAAAGGGATCCCTGCTGAAGAGAAAATGACAGAACTGACATCTACGAAGAGCTTGTCACGAGCGAACGCTACGTCATGAGTCATGAGTGGATATTCCGCTCGACAAATTTGCTGCACAACTGTGCAGCCGAAGCCAATGGAGGTACTTCATAGCTCCAGCTACCTCGTGATGTACCCAAGAGGTGATAAGTTGTATCTTAAGCTAACTGGTTGCCGATGTAACGTATCATGTTCAGAAAACATGGGTATGCGCCACAACCTGTGTTTCTCCTGGTGCTGCGCTGTTGCGCACAATTCTTCGAACCTTCGGCCTACAAAAGCCATCGTCATAACAAGCTGTGGCACGCTGCGGTAGAGACCGTCATGTTTGATAGCTGATGATTGTTGCTGTTTTTTGTCAGCTGCTCAGGCGAGCAATGTGGGATGCAGCTCACCCCATTGCTACTACCTCCGCCATGGTCCCAGTTTGTGCACTTTGGGCCGTCTTTGAGCACAAGATATGCGTTTCATGACACAGATTACGTTTTATTCTACATTGCTGTTAGGTTGGAGGCCATTGCTATTAGGTTGGAGGGCATTTCTAGTAATATAGGTTGGAGGCCATCGCTAGTGGGTGGAGGCCGTCGCTCTTAGGTTCCTTTTGCTATTGGGTTGGAGGCCATCGCTATTGGTGTCAAGGTGATGTGGTGTTTGCATCGACCCATCGATCCGTTTTTTCCGCTCATTCTGGTGAGTTCCCAAGGTGTTATCAGTCACCACCACCTTTGGCAGAAGGCGCTGACGCACCAGATTTAAATGGGGTAGGAAATGGGACTTAGGACATTGTGATTCAATGTGGTAGTCAACAAGAGTCTATAATATAGACTGAATTTGAGCATCCGACAAATTTGCGAAGACTAAAGTGTCACACAGTGGACGTGCGATAGGAAACCTGCATGAAATGAAACCTGCATAAGCAATGGGGGCCGACCCATCTACCGATGTCCTTCATATACCTATATAACTACCCAGAAGCCTGCATAAGAACACATTTCTTCATCTTCAATGTTTGAAGGTTTTGACAGAATCTTTGTGATTTGTGTCGTAGATATCGTGGAGATTCGTGGAGTTATTTTTTTGTATGTCTTTTGCGCAGGTCTCATCTGTGGGGTTTTGTGGTGTGACCATTGCCGGCCTAACACAGCCCTTCCAGTGCAGAGTGCAACCACCTGTAACCACCTGCTGCCCAGGGACTTCCCAACCAAGGTCTTTGATGAACAAAATACTATATATCATTAATTATATGATTATATATAGGTCCTGTTTTTGAGCCCTGGGTACCAACAAGTTGGAGCAATGTCTACACCAGCAAGCTACAACACCAGCAAGCTACAATTGCACTGTTCAGGAATGGCTCCAGATGTTTCGATTGGTGCAAGGGAGAAATTGGATCGAGCGCATCAACACTGAATCATTGATTCAATGGATTTCAATGAGGAAGAAAAGATTTATATAAGCAGCTGCCCTTTACAAAATCAAGTTTTATCGATTCCCCCGCTTTCCTTGTCATCTCCGACCGGCACCTTTGGTCCTTTCGTTTGTGACCTGTCAGTCACATCGATCATCTGAGTCACAGCAGTCGAGCCATGTTGAGCCCTATGATCAGCGTCCGACGCAGCGTCTAAACACATCCATGCCCCAAAGGAAGAACACAGATCCAGCATCTATCTATACTATATCTATATAAGATATACTTGTTGCCAGCAGAATAAGTTTCACTAAGGACTATGAATTCCAGGGACTAGAACGGTCAATTCAACCCCTCCCCTCGTAGTTTTCGGCGCGAATGAACGTGTTGAGTCGCTGTTCGCTTTTGGGGACGCCACGTCCGGTGGGGTGGGTCCAGACGTGTCGCGTCCTGGTTGAAGGTTGAAACTCGAGGATGAGGATCCCTGGAGATCTCAAGCTGGTGAGGATGCAGTCGAGCCAGGCAGATTTGAAGCTGGGGAGGTAGGATTTTTCTGCTTTATTTGTAAGCATATTGAACGGAACAAAGCTGTCGTGAAGAAACTGAGCTTTCCAGGCAGAAGGAAGCTGCAGATCGGGACCGTCCTGTACATTTCGCTGTGCATTTCAATGGGGAAAGACTGAGAGACATTGCAAGACATCATGATACCAAAAAACCCTGTGTGTCATGATGTCCAAAGTAAATACGATGTTTGATGCAAGTTGGAGTTTGCTTGTAGGACAATGCCTCCCACCACAAGCACTACAACCCTTGTGCCTGTGGCCTTGGTGTGCAAGACTGCCGTTCTGGTGGGACTTTTAAAGGATACATCTTTGCATTTGCTGTGTGAAGCGTTTGGTAAGGCCTGCAAGCGAGACATCTTGCTACCAGGACTTAACAGAGGCCAGTGACAAGATCTCAACGATTATATAGTAGTATTTTTCCCATTCTTGCACTTGCTGCAAGGCTCAGCAAGATGCAGTGCGGACATTGGGCTACAGTATTTCATCATGGCACGTGTGTGGTCGCCCAGAAGTTCAACGTGTTATGAGAATGAACGAGAATCCGCCTTTGAGCTGAATGGCATCTTTAGTCATCAAGTCATTCTGGCTTTGGCCTTTGAGGTGCAAGAATCCTTCCTGTGCTTGGCCTTCAGGGCTTCCGGAGCCTAATGCCCCCTGTTTGGAGGCGCCCGCCTATGCAACGCGCGATCCGCGATCCGCGCGATTGCTGTAAGCGATGCGAACCGTACAGCTTTGTAGGGCTTTCACGGTGCTTTTGACACCTGGGCAGGTGCTGGAGTGGTTTGAAACCTCGTTGCTGCCTTGGTGATGATGACTCTTTGGCAGACATGCCTAGTGTACAACAGATGCAGAAATCCTTCAAATGCTTCAATTCTGAAAGACGTCAAAGATGGCAAGCATTGTCACACCCAAACACTTTCCCAATGTCAATGTTGGCTTGCAAGTTCTTGACGACGGGGTTTGATTAGCCTATATGGCTGTTGGTCAAGCCTCACCCTACAAACCTTGGAAGGTTGACATCCCGAACATAGAGGAATTTGTTCATTTTCAGGGTCAACCAGGGTGCCAGGGTTTTGACCCACTGCCATATTTCGTCAATTTGCCCACGCTTTGCCTAGCTCCTCTTTGTCGCTTTGCCAACATTGACAATTCGTGGAGAATATCTCGGGAGAGGGGTGGTGGCTGTGGGAGCACTCTGTTTATCGATGCTTGGATGTGAATCGATGCCGCAGGTTGTACACGAGAAACTGGGCCGATCTCACCCAGTCCAAGCGCGCTGCTTTGGAACTGCTGGGATGGGTGATCCAAGACCATGTTGAGCGCGCTGCGCTTCTGCAGAGACGAATCACTTGTCTCTTGTCACTGAATTGATTTCTTCAATGTCCTGCCAAACTCGCAGATTGTGCCAGGCGCATAGCCGATGGATGGTGATGAACTACCCTCTATCTTATGCTCAGATCGGAAGCCAAGTCGTTGCGGACTGCCAAGATGGTGCTAGAACAACACAAGCCTCCTCAAATCATGAGTACTCCGTTTCACGGGAGTTTTTCTTGTACCGCGCCGCTTGAGCTCACTCCTGCCCACCTTTCTCTCGCCATCCAGTCTCACTCGGCCTTTTTTGATCAACATCTACGATGTACTTTTACATAATTAGTCTATTCTATTTCCCGTTTGAGTTCAAGTTTGCATTGGTCCGTTGCTTAGTTTATTCGGCCGCAGGTCGTATGGCGGGTGACATTTTATTTTGCAAGTGTGTGTGTGTGCGTGTGTGTGTGTGTGTGTGTCCACCCCTGGACAAAGGGTTTCAACAGATTCCAAGCAGGGGCACACGGCATCCATGACCTACCGTGTGCAACGAAGCTGCGGTCATGGATGGGAAGGGAAGGCTGATCACCTTCCTGTACCTGCGAGGTTTCCCACAGCCGCCGTTCAGCAGCCGTCCGCAGATGTGCACAAACTACTTGTTGAAACACCTTCAATTGATCGGACTCATCACCTTGCCGTTGAGTCATTCCTTTCCTTGGGGAACTGAGTTAACTGAATACAAGTGTCAGAGTGTGTGTGTGTCATTTGTCACCTTGTTGTGTCCTGAACCCTTTCGCTTTCTGAGAATTGGCCTTCCTGGGAATCTACCAAGTCTTTAGTTGTTCCAAATGATTGGAACATTAACATACATGGACAATAGAAGACCAGGCTTTGGTATGAGCTGCAACCACGGCAGCAAGAAGCTGCAGCCTTCCTTGGATACACCGTCGAGGCTTGGTCTTGGAGTTTCCGTCGTTTCTCGCCGTGAAAAGTAACTGCTTAAGTCGACATATTGCACTTGCTGTTCATGTCGAAACCAAATTGAACTCCGATCCAATGCTGTTCCATGCTTCTTTGTACTGCTTCAATTAAGAAGCCTCCAGGTGTGGGAGAGGTGTGAGAGAGCATCGTGCAGTGCCTAGATTGCCCAAATTACAGAGACCAAGCACTGGTGCAGTTCCCAGGCCGTGCATCACACGACTAGAGCTGCTGGAGGAGCAGAGCTGTGTTTTCATTCATGAACCAAAAGTCTTGCCTTCCCATCCTCCTTTGCAGAACAAGTGGAAGACTCTCCGGTGGAGGGAGATGCAGCAACCCTTCCAAGATAGGCGCCGAGAAGCTCGTGACCACGGTGCTTTTTGAATTGAAAACCCATGAGTCAGCCGCATTGAGTTGAGAAGTTGTATGGAGTCGTTTGAGTTTAGAACTTGATCAAAATGAGACTGGGGAATGATTTTCGGATTGGTGATGTCAGTAATGCAAGGAGTGTGCTTTGCATCACCAACATAGGTATGTTTGAACATCATGCTGGATATGGAGAGAACAGGAACATTACTGTAGTAATACTTAAAATAACTTGTTGGCTCGAGGCTCCCTACACACATTATATATGTGGAATGGCAACTGCAGATGGAAAATACAAGTGAACCCGGACAACACAACAAAACATATGAACTGCTTTGGCTGGAGACCGCGTGTGCTGGCTAAGTGGTGGAAGTGGCGAGGAACCAGTTGACACGCAATGCTTCTGCGAGACTGTTTGAAATTACTGTACGAGTGTGTTCCGTTACATTTCAGGCTTGTTGATGATTGCCATTCAAAGGTAATGCAGGATCTTTTGCGTTTTGGCCTGGAAAACTACAAAGAATTTGCAGGGCGAGGGAGCATCCGGGTCCACCATTTGATCCTCTCGCATCGCACCCCTTCCTCACAAGCGGCCGGTTGATATCGAGCACAAATTCTCCAGTGGGTTTGTTAGACTTGCACCTTCTAGAAAGTTCAGGTGTGCCATGAGGGCATAGTGCATTTTTTACTTTATTGCTGCGCAGTGCAGGTTGCGGGAACTTGGATACAATGAGGCGCCCAAGCACTTCCTCAAATTCCGTATGTGACTGCTGAGAATTTGTACAGGAGCGCTGGACAAATGGAGATGGCGCCACTCTCACGAAGGAATGGGGGCAGGGGAGGGAACCAGCACAATTCAACATCAACCACACTGAGTGTGAGCGGACTTGCCTACGCAGACTCAGATTTGAAGGGTTTAGGAATGTTCTTGGCCAATTCAGAACCTGTCAACACCTCATCGTACTTGGATGTACACCGGCTACACAGCTATGTAGGGCTTCCAGCCTCCCATGGATTGTGACGTTCGCCGGTGATCGCACCGCAGTGCTGTGTGTTTGGTGCTGTACTTCCGCAAACTTTTGACCTGTGTCAATCCACCGATATTTCATAGTCCATGGTCCATGAATGGCAAGGAAGTGCTTGGCCAAAGGGATTCAAGAGGCCTTCAGAACGTGTGAGAACGCATGGAAGGCCTACATGGACTTGACTGACTCCGAGAAGGTCTCTGTGAGACTTGCAGGCCATTCTTTTGATTGGACAGTTGGAGTTGAGGTCTTTGGAACCTGTCAAACACATACTTGCAGGTTATGTGTCCGATACATGGGTGGCTTTCTGAGTGTTTTGGGAGCCTTGAACAACGAAACGTGGTCTGAGCACGAATTTCGTGTTAGCTGAGGATGGGTGCCCCGATGCTCAATGCGAGGACCGCTTCAGGTCACTCTGCACTCTTTGGAGAAAGAATCGGTCAGACGGTGTTTATGCTTGCCCAGTTACCTCAAGCGCAAGTACGCTGACATTTCCTGGAGTGCTCTAACGGTACCTTTCTTAGAATAGTCAGAGTTGTGGCTCATGTGTTGCTGTTGTTGCGCTGTGCAAGCTCTCACACAGACGACATGAAGACATATATTGCTCATGCTTCGTGTTTTGAACTGTTGTGAGGTAGCAGAGCGTCGCGCCTGGTGCACCGACATGTTTCGCTTTGACGATCAAAAGCACCTGCACGCTGAGGGAACTCATCGCCAGGCAACTCCTTGGGCACACCGATCATTTGTGGTTAGGAGGGATGATGAATACCATCACCATGCAGGCACCTGCAATCGTTTTGCCGTAAATAAAGAGCCAAAGAAAGAGCTGAATGCTTAAGACACGGTCTGGTGTCGTTTGCCACTCCTGCAACCAGTTGACCTGGGAAGAGCTTTCCCTGGAGCAGAGGGCGCAGGCACGACCAAATAGTGCACCAATGGCCTCAACAGCCCGTGGAACACCTGTCAGGCTGAATTCCTTGGATTTTCGAAGGGTACTTGGCAGGGATGCAACACGAACTGGGTGCGGGTCTCACCATGTTTGTCGTGACATGCAACTTGTTTTGATCAAGCTTTTGCCCAAGATTGTGGCTCAACACTTGTGATTCTTGTAAGGGACAAAATTCGGGTGGAAATGCAACCCAGCAAGATGGGTACATATCCACCAGCATTGCGTGCATCTGAGCTTGCTTCGTTTGTCTTTGCGTCTCGCTTCGCTTGCTTCCTTCGTGCCCCAGGGAAGGACCGTCCGAGCACGGATGGTCATCCGTCGTCCCTTTGCGGAGGTTTCTGGGAATGCCGGCGCTCAGCGATATGTGCAACTGCTTGTGTTCTCAACGTCCTGGGTGTGTATTTTCCCTCATCCGGAAGACCTCCTGGTCCTGGTCGACGACCAGTAACCTCCCGGTCCTGGTCGGTTTGGTTCGATTTTTCCCTGAAATACACACCCAAGACGTGAACGAAGTCTGTCCAACTCAGTCTCAGACGACAGTCTCATCCTCACGAAGTCGTTCTCTGGCGTCTCAGGTCTACGGTTCAGCCGTGGATCGCCTTCCCGCATCATTCATTCAGGCATACAAACGGTTTTTAAGCAAGTCAAGCGACACAAGCGGTGCTTTTGACCTCATTCTTGCCCTTGAAGCCTTTCATCCTTGAACCAAGGTATTCGAGGAAGCCATTTCTCGAGCGCTGTTTTGCAGCAATCCTCCTCTGAGTGAAGACCCGTGATGGTCTCAGAGTCTCTCAGAGTCTCTCAGAATTTTGCACTTAAAAGGCGGTGAGAGTCTCTCAGACTGGAGAATCATCATTTATCAGTTCGAACGTGGCTCAGGGCGACTTTCGTTGACACTGATGGGACACCCCTGTGTATCCAGAAGGAGCACTATGAAACGTGCTGCTCCTGGTCAAATTGAGAAGCAACAGACGCAAGACTGGCCAAAGCTGCTGTGAACAAACTTTACACGTGCAAGTTTACATCCCTTCTCTTACGATACACTTTTTGAGCGGCTTTTCACTTGTTGACTCAGTACTGGAAGGCAGATGCATCGCGTGAAAGTGATGACTGTGGTGGAGGGGTCTATCATTGTCGACTTTTTCCTTGCAAGGACATATTGCCGCTTATGCATTTGATGTTTTTCCTAAAATCGGTGGCTCAAGAATAGCCTGCAAATAGAGTTCCTTCATCGAGAAGGTCGATGCACATGACTATTCTGTACCGTTCTTTTTTGTTGTTGCATGTGGACAATGTTCACATCTTGAGCTTGAAATCTGTGTTTCTAGGAACCAGACGACCACTGAGCTTCCAGCTCCTGCGCTTTTTGAGGTGATCGGATCCATGTCTTTCAAAAGAAAGGATGTGTGAAGCAGTGAAGGGTAGTCAAGGGAAGCAAAGGTTTCGTGGCGTACTTGGAGTGAGTGGGTTGTTTTCTGCCTTCAACCTTTCGTGTCGTTGGGGTGCAGTGTGCTGCTTACTGTAAGAAGGTGAAGTGGAGAACCAACTGATTTGCTTGACCAAAGGGGCGACAGGGATTGTTCCTTCCCTTTTGATCGGCGTCAATTGTTTTTTGTTTCTCTATCCTTCTGGCACTTGCACAACAACACAATTTGTTGCCAGCCTCCAGGTTGGTCAGCACAAGCTTGCTACATGAAAGATTACATGTTGCCCTTTGCATGCTGTCAAATTTTGGCTGGGATATTCTATGAACATAATGTGTCGTTCTGGTCCGGTGGAGGGCTATATTGGAAGAATATTCCAAAGGCTTTGCTTAGTCTTCTGGCAAAAAGATCTTACAACAAAGGAGATAAATCGTAGCCTGGTGAAGTATGTACACTCCCTGGTTTTGATTCATTACGGAAATTTTGAACGTACCGGATGAGGGGCTCAATGACAATGAATCAACATTTTCGCTTTTGCACAAAACTGCTTTAGTTTCCTGAGCAGTTTTTGGCTGCTTCTGTGTCCTTTCATCGTGGCTTTATTTCACATTTGATATGAACTGGGTACAAGCTGCTTTGCTTTTTGCAATAGCAAGTTGCGGTCCCCAATGGGCGCGAACTCCAGTCCAGTAGCATCAGTAGAGTCTCAGCTATTCGCTCAGTTCTCAGCTGTTGAATTCCCCTACTTGCTCCTCCAGCACATATTTTTTGCCTTTGTGCTTTCGTGGTCTTCGTTGCTCACGGTTTCTCACACACGCATTGCCTAGAAAGGCGCAGCTTTATCAGTTAGACCCGTGGCAAGGAGGGAGAAACTCTCGGAACCTAATCGCAAGGAGGGGAATGACATAAAGGCTATCTTTGCGAGGGTCACGCCGCTCAAGCTCATCATGAATCGATACGCTGGCTCCCCACCATGGCACAACAATCCGACATCTTTGCAAGAAGTCTCTTGCTTTTGGACCATTCACAAATCGGTAAATTCATCGGTGACAGCAACTTCGGCTTTTGGTGACCCTGTGACACTGTCCAGGAAAAACGACCGGCACTTTCATGCAACAAAGCACATAAAGCTTCTTGGAACATCCCCTAAGCTTCGGGTAATCAGATACCTGACGGATACCTGACTTCATCATGATAGGGACATTCTCCACTGACTCGCTCTAATGCTTGATGTTGTTGCTCTAATGCTTGATGTTGTTGCATGTGTCCTTCATGTCTACCAGCGGCACAAAGTGCGAACCAGCATCACCATAGCGCTACGTAGCGGGGGAACGGGTGATTCCAGTTAGTTGAAATGGCGGGGCTGATGTCAACTGCCTGCCTGCAGTCCCTTCAACGGATGCTGGAGCTGAAAACATCACCGCTGGGTCCCGAGTTTTCGTTTCAGAAGTTCAAGAGAGAACGATTATATATATAATTGCAAGCCACCAAGGTTATGCCAAGATATGCACTTTGGCAAATTTGCTCAAGTAGCTGTAATGGAGGACTTCATTTGTTTTGGAGAAGTGTTCCCATGTCTTGTGGAAGTGTGAGCCAAATTGTTTTCCCGTGTCAATGTTCCTTTTGCAAGTGAGAAAGAAAGGCATCTATAAACATTCCTTGACATGTGTTATTTCTATTTTTTGAATGACGTGTCTTCCATTATTTCTTGTCCCACATCACACCTCAAAGTGCACCAGCAAGGTACAGCAGTCTCGCGCTGCTGCATTGACAATAATTCAATTGCTCCTTCCCTTCGCAGGAGATCCCACTTTCGCTTCTCTCTGAAGATGCACTTGAAGCAGCAGCCGTGTTTGAAGTGTGATCAGCTCGGATCTGTTTTGCATGTAAATGATCACTTTCCAACTCCGGAGGATTTGGAGAATTGCTTGCTCGAAGTGTTCGAGCCGCGAGCCGCTCACCGAGGATGCGGAACCAGTACGGGCCAGAAACTGCGTGTCAGTTGCTGGCAGACGTTGGACACTTGAGTCGTCAAAGTGAGTCACACGGAAGTCGCCTTTGCGAAGTCGAAGTCGCCAGAGGCCAGGGAAGGACCTGTGAAGTCGCTAGCTCAAGTCGAACGGAGATCTCCGGAGTCATCATGGAATCATTGGTCTTTTTGCATCCGGTTTGAGGTGCCCAACAGCCACATCAAGTTCAATGGCAAGTGCACGGCCTCAGCGATGCAACATGAACATTAGCATATCAATCACACGAAAAAGAACATGCTCAGACGAAGATGTTTGGATACAAGCCAAGCTGAGGTGGTTTCATGCTGCTCACATTGCTGAGCGTTGGTAGATCGTTCTTCGGGCTCCTTGCTTGACTCGATTTTAGTTGTAGCCCTTTGTACAAACCGGCAGATGCTGAAAGCATTGCTGTGCACCATTTGGGACATGTTTATGCAACATAAGCACTGCCCAAAGCCTTTTTAGCCCATGTGTCACAATCGTATTCTGGGAGGGCTTGTTGAATTGGGATGAGTCTGAGTCGGCATGGTTTATCCTCACATTACATGAGTTTTTATGGATTCTCCTTTCCGCCCTAACCAGTAGGACGTTCTCACCCCGGTGCATGAAGACATGCAATGAGCTGGCACGAGCCCAGCTCCGCTCGTGCTTGCGATATGCAGCGTACGAAAACCTTTCTCGGTGTTCCCTGCGTCTCGGCTACAATTGACAAGGTTTGCCCCCCTGTGCTTGATGCGAGTTTGATTCTGGAACATTCACATTCTGGCTCCAACATGCTCAACACAATTCTGTTTCTCATTTCTATCCTGATTGCACGTCCACCGTGAGGTTGCTTTCGATTGCTTTTTGGTTATTCTGGGTTGCATTTTTTGGATTTCCAACGGATTCACCGTCTCCAACCACGCTTGCTGCATTCCCTCTGTTTACTTGTGTACTTTGCTTTCGCTCTGCCTCACCTTTGATCCAATTCATCCAATTTCCATGGATTCCAACCAATGAACGTGCTTATGGACTCGTCCTTTCACATTCACAGTTCTTCGGAGGAGAGCAGCTTTGACCAATACCTACGTTATCCAGCCGAGTAAATCTGACATAAACAAAGCAGTCTCACAAAACAAAGCACAAAATCACAAGCAGGATCAGAGAGTTACGTCGATCAGACATGAACAAATCAATTGAAACCCTTTGCTGAAGCTCCAGGCACGCACGACGCACTACATCGAGAAGCTCCATATTTACCAACAGCATGCCCACCTGGACGGATTTATAACCCAACAGCAAATTGGTTGGGGCAACGCCGGCTCACCAGAGAGAAGTCATCCAAGTTTGTTCGCGGCAAAAAATAACGCAATCCTTGCACTAAGTGGCTGTGACGGTCTTGGACCGAGTGCATGGCATGCAGGTGTCAACATCTCACGTTCGTAGCACTTTAAACCGATTTCTGCAGTGGTTGTCCCAGTCTGATACTTTGTCTCCCCTTTCTCTTCGGCTTTTCCTGGCTCAGTTGTTGGACGTGCATCTTTGGCTGCCCACCGAACCTCTTCTCGGCGCTTATTGAGCGTCCTGCTGTTTAGCGAAGAGAACGATTCGGGTTCACCGCAAAACTACGCTCGCGACCGGCGCAGCGCGCGACCGGCGCCAGCCGGCCATTCGGCCGACCAGAGTTGCCCATGTCGCTCGGGCGCATACGGCTCAGACTCCGATCGATCAGGTCGAAGACCAAGCGTCGAGTCAAGAAGCTTTCTAAAAGCAGAGCCCACGGCTCCACCAGGAAAGGGAATTCAGGTTCGGCTCCAACGGCAAAGGCTGCAGTCAGAGTCCGCAACCCCTGTGATTGTAGAAGCTTCCATAAGCTTCCTAATATTGTCTCCGGGTGACCTGCTTTTTGTATTTTTGGGAGGTTTGTGAACCTGCTGCGTTTGCGGTGCGCTGTAATTATTCTTTTGGTTCCATTCGGGCAATGTGTTTGTCCAATCCGTTTGTGCTCCCAGCATTTCAATTGATTGCACATCGCGATTGTGTCGGTCCGTAACAGTCCGCATCATATCTTCGCTCCCCAGGGCTCCCCAGTATTTAAAGCCAAGCATCAGGTCAGTCGTGGCAGCTCTTCCTCCAGTGTACAGCCTCTCGACTCTGGAGCGGAGGGAGCGGTTCCATGGTTAGCCTAACTCTGTGGCGCACACGTGCGCTTGGGCACACCTGGCTGCCATGGCCTTCCTTTGGCCGAGCCTCGCCCCCCCTTCCCGCACCCCTGCAGCGCTTTTCAATAATACGGGCTCTGCATGTGGCCCGCATGGCGCCTCTCTGATCGAAGGTTAAGGTCATCGTTTCACACATTTTTCATACGAACTATTATCTCGCCCCTGTCCAAGTGCGCTGCACATGAACCTGAACTCGTTGACCATTTGTTTGGGACATGCAGAGAAGCGTGCAGATTGTGCAATGAGTTCTTGCACTATGCTCCTGATGGACGTCAGGTGGGAAACAATCTGAGTGAAGCAAAGCTCTATCGCTGAGAAGCTGGACAAGCTGAACACGTCCACTTGGGCCATTTGCTTTGGCAGAATGACCAAAGCCACCGTGTTCTCTCCGACTGCAGAAGTGGTAGAAGCCTGCGCGTTCGCGTAACGTTGGGGGACACTTTTGGCACCGTGGAGACCCAAACCTTACAATTCCAAACCTTTTCACGCTTGGCAGCCTTAGAAGCCACAATGTGTCCGCCTAGCCAGCGGACAACCCTTGCGTGGAGCGGCAAGAGGCAGGAATCTTCGAAGCCTAGATGCTACGGTTTTGCCGTTTTTCCATGGTGGTTTCTTTTCCGGGCATGCTGCACTCCAGCAACCGCGGCTCGCCGTTGGCGTTGTTGTTGCCATGAGGTTCCTTTCTTGTTTCTGGCTCCACATGTCGGTCCTCCCCAGTTGTGGGTGTTTGAGGATGACCTCCACACCCCAACCCCACCACTCTGCTTGGATAACCCAGCGTTCCCCGATGTGAAGGAATAAGAACCAAAAGATATTGTGAAGGAGGAGGCGCTTTAGGGCATGTCGTGGAAACCATAATTGGCTGTAGTAACATGAAGCAGTGGTTCACATGTTTAGGGTGGACGGGAGGGAAGAGATTCGGTGGTACCATTTTGGCTCTAAGCCGGGACCAGCCCATTTGAAGTTAAGTTGGGGTGTGGGCAATGGAAGGGCTGCTCCCTGACAGAGCAACCTTGGACGCCTGGGGGACGTTGACTGACGCGGCTGCCTGGGGAGGACTCGAGTTGGGGCTGGTCAGGGCAGTGACTAGACAGTTGGGAGATCCTGCACTATCCTCCTTGCCTATCCCGTTAGAAGTATTCGAGGCTGCTCTGAAAGGTGCAGCCCGGGGTGATCGTACGTTGACAGAGACGGAAAAGGCTCAGTGGAGGTTGATCTTCAGTGCAGTGAGGGTCAAATACGGCGCACCATCCGTGTTTTCAGCAGAGGAACGGCTGCAGGATCAGGGGGCACAAAGTTGAAGCTTAAGATGAACCAGATCATTGATCAGGGCGTCGATTTTGAAGTTGAGATTGACAGGCCCAGTTCTACAAAAGATGCGGGCACAGTTTGTTGTGAGCGAAGGGGACAGTCCCCTCGAGAAGGAGGAGGTCACTGACGCCCAATTGAGCTGCTTTCATCACAAATGGCAGTCGGGGCAAGCCCCCGTTGTGGATATGGGGGTGTGGGGCCCCCAGGGCTATGCGTTTTGTACCCCAGGAGTGGCGTGACGGTCAGTGGAAAGCAGTTGAACTGCCAGGGGCTGCAAACCTCGATCTGGGGAAGGGTCTTGGAGGATTTTTCGGACTGCAGCTCTTATGCTGAAAATGGCAACAGGAGCCACCTTAGACAGGTATGCCTCAAGAGTTCAGGACCCGGGTACTCCACCCGATGTATGGCACCTGGCGGCCCAGGCTGATATCCGTTGCCGGACGGAGTTTTGGTCCCAAGAGAAGCGCAAACAAGAGGCATTTCACGCGACGCAGCACTTCCCGCTTTGTCAGCACTCATCCCGAGCCAGCTGTGGAACTCCGTCCTTCGTGCTAGTGCATTTCATTCAGATTTCTGGCCACGTGAGTTCGAGAAGCCTGCAATGCTCCATGTCATGAACTCGGCAAGATCAGTGCCAGCAGGGCCTCTTGGGCCAGTGCAGCTCAAGATGACCCAGCATGGATGAGGCCACAACCAAAGATGAGAACCAGTGCAGCATTTGACCCAAAACGCAAGGACGGGCGACATTTTCGGAGCAAGGCTGGTATCAACATCTGCTATGCATGGTCACAAGGCGATCGACTGTCCACATCACCTGGGATGGAACCCACACAAGGAGGACAAAGGGAAACCCAAAGGCAAGGGCTGAGGAGGGGGTCACCCCTCGAAGAGGCCCAAACACATGTGACAATCTAGCCCTCTGTGTCGCCTGCAATTGAAGCGATTGACCTCGAGAAGAGATTGGCCAGCTGCGGGAAAGACATGAAATTTGGTGCATGCAAGCGAGGTGGGGCTTCACCGCCCAAGGAGACTGAGGATGAACTCACGCCAACAGAGGGCAATTGTTTCATGGAACTCATCGCGGGTGAGGCTGGACTCACTCAAGCCGTCAGTCGGCAAGGGGCAAAAGTGTATGAGCCTGGTGAAATCTGCGTTGGGGGCCGAATTACTACAGGTACAGATCTTTTGTGCAATGCTACATTCAAACAACTCAAGTCAGTGAGGCAGCTGAGGTCAGCGCAGAATCCTGCTGGTATCGAACCGAAATCAGCAAGGGTGAAGGAGGCAAAGGTTTTGGCCTCAAAAGCCACACAGCGGTCATTATTGCAATGGAAAGTGGGGGGTTGGTTCTCTTTAGAAAACCACCACCCACCCCAGGACGACACTCTGCTTAGCTCGTTCAGCTGGCCCAAACTGGCTTGCAGCACTCTCCACATCAACTTGCCTGTGGTGGCCCAATGTGGCAACTTTTGTATCGCTCCAAGGGTTTCGAAGTCCCCCAATGCACTGATCAATCTCTTTCTCGGTCACGACTCAGGGCAAACGCCCTGCCTTTAACCTCACGGCGCCTCCTCCCCATGGTGAGGCGTCTACATAGAAGTCCATCCAACCTGCATCTGCGCCTGCTATGCCCAAAGGCTGTTCTCTCCAGCCCTCCACTTCCGCAAGCCCACAAGAAAAGTTTCTAATCCATCGCACTGCTGGTTCAAGACCCTCCAGCAGGCGTTTCCACTCGTCCACCTTTGCTTCAGTCACCATGACCTTCACATACAGTTCTTTGTCGTTGATTTGGAGTTTGGCTCCTATCCATTCAGCCTCT